CCAAGAAGAATAAAAATTAGGACTTGATTTGGAGTCCTAACTATTCAAGGAGAGTTGGATTACTTTCTTCTTTCCTTATGATTAATTTCTTGCTTTCAAAAAGTCTGAGAAGTTGGGATAATAACATATATGATAATCCAAAGACTAGCAGGAGAGTTAGACAATACCACCAAGGCTTTAGAACCCCTGGTCTGAGAGTTTCATGAAATTGGTCATGTGGTGGTTGAGAATAGAGCTGCTTTCAACAGCATCTTTTTAACAGCAGCTATTTTTCTGGGCTACAGAACTCAGATTTGTGATTCTCAGAGTTTTACATGCTATGTGTAGCTGATGTCCCATGTTATGATCCAACAAATGACCACATAATGAAAAAAGGACAGGAAAACCTGACACTTATGGCATCTGAAATGACCACCCCGCGAACATAATACTTCATCATGACACCTCAACTTGTGGTGAAAATGTGACTTGCTTATGTTTTCAGACATTAATGGTGTATCCTTTAGCTCAGGTTGAAGAAGTTGAGAACTAAAAGCATCTACCCCCATGCAACTTTGTCTCCACTATCATGACTTCACCAGTCTGTCATCTTCACTAACATGGATTTGGTATTCCTCTGTCTTCACAATCAATATTTATTATAATTTTATTATCAATCCCTAAATTTTTCTGAATACCTTATTTATATGAACATCAAACTGTTAACTCATTCAACAGATGCATCAAACGGTTGTGTTTCCCAAGCTCATTTAAAGCCCTTGGCTCAAAGCCTTGCCTTCCTAAGACTCTCAATCGTAAACAATTCTAGCATCCTTCTTATGCAATCCCAATCAAGTCCTTTCTCCTTCTGAGGTGCCACAAAAACTCTGTCAAGCAGTGTTTTCTTAGAGCTTTTAAAAATTAGTCCAACTTTGTTTCACAAAACTTTGTTTTGTGGTATTTTCTGGAAGCAGCAGGTATATAGAACCCAGATTCCTAAGAATCACCTGTGGAGCCTCATATTCAATATTTATGAGGAGAGTCTACCCAGACTCCAAGTGATTCTGAGGAGGGTGCCATGAGGACCACAGTTTACTGTTCTAACATCTAACTGTGTTTAACCTTGCAAAACCAGTTAAGGTTCAATTAACTAATTCATCTCTGAGGGTAGGCCAAATAAAGTGGCATATTCACTGGTGCCCTTATTCACAGGTTTAATCCTAATCTGTTCTGATTCAGTAACTCCATTAATGTATCTGTGGGTGATAAAACCAAAGGGAATTGGTACTTGCTAACTAACTTCAAGAGAATCAGTGTACATTTCTAATAATTGCTATCTAGAATTTATTCTTTTATTATCAATATGAGAAATAAAATTAATAATTAGTACATGCTTGCTCAATACACTAGAAGAATAGATTTATAAAATATTTCAAACAGGTTGTGACAATCTATTGTTCTGCTTTTAAAAAAATTAGAAATAAATCTGAAGAGAAATATGAACCTTTACCTGCATGCAGAAGAGCCAGATCTTAAAAAGGGGCATTGGGGAGACAGAGAATAAATGTTATTTGTAGCTCTATTTATTCCATGGCAGTCACATTTCAATTGTATAATGTTTTACTCAGTTTTAGCAGAAACTGGGAATTCTTATTTTTAATTAGACAGAAACAAAAAATTTAAAAAATCAGTATTTTTATATCTGAAAAGTGGTCCTAAAAAAAAGTGGCATCAGAAACTAATTGCGATCACATCCTGTAGCAACCTGACAGCTTTTCTTATTTAATTATGGTGATAGTTAATTTTATGTGTCAACTTGACCAGGCTAAGGAATGGCCAAATAGCTGGTAAAATATTAATCTTGGGTGTGTCTGTGAGGGTGTTTCTGGAAGGGATTAGCATTTGAATTGCTAGAATGAGTAAAGAACACCATTACCAATGTGGTGGGCATCATCCAAGCCACTGAGGGCCCGAATAGAACAAAAAGGTCAAGGAAGGGCAGACAGGGTCTCTGTGTGTGAGCTGGGAAGCCCATCCACTCCTGCCTTGAAACACTGGTGCTCCTGGTTTGCAGAACTTTGGGCTCAGACTGGTTCCTACACCGTTGTCTCCCCTGGCTCTCAGAACTCTGGGTTTGGACTAGAACTACACCAGCAACTTTTTGGGGCCTCCAGCTTGCAGATGGCAGGTGGTGGGACTTAGCCTCCACAATCATGTAAGTCAATCTTTCATAATAAATCTTTCTATAGATTTGTATTAGCTGAAATTCTTTAGCTGATAACTTTTATGCTAAATGATTGGGATTTCAGTTGCTCTGGCCAGGGCTCTTCTAACCTCAGTTGGATTTGTTTAGCTATTAAATTAATTAAACATTGTTAACAATTCAGTCTGAATAAATGTTCTGAGCAGTTCTTAATGGCCTTTTTATTCCATTTCTCATACAGATTGTTTTTCTTTTCTTTGTTTTTTGTTTTTACTAATTTTCCTATCAGTTCTGAGGTCTTCTCCTTCTCTTAGGATTTTGGATACAGGCACGCTGAATTTTCCTGTATGAATTTTCCTGTATGTCTGTGTTTACCCTGAAATTAGATTGTTAGTTTGTGGTGAAAGAGTATCTTGACCTTTGTTTTAAAAGGACTTGTAAAGAGGCTGCTTCCTTTTTCTTCATTAAGACAGTGGACATGATGCCTAAGGAAATGGATACTTTATATTCTGACCCCAAGTCCTCTGCTTTACCTATCTTAAAGTTTACATATTTAAACCAAATGACTTCAATTCATTACCCTCTCTGTAACTACACCCTTTGTTCTGTGACTTTGCACTTTCTCGCACTAAATATTTAGAATGTATTCCCCACATCTAGTCTTGTAATTTGCTTTGACCAACAGAATTCAGCTGAAGTAGCCGGTGTGGTAGCGCGCACAGGTAGTTCCGGCTACTTGGAAGGCTGAGGTGGAAGGATGGTGGGAGCCCACATGTTGACACTGGTGTCGCTGTGAGTGTGCCACTGCACTCCAGCCTGGGCAATGAAGTGAAATCCCAACTCAAACAAAAAAATAGAATTCAGCTGAAGTGATGGTGTGCCAGTTGTCAGCAAAGGCCTCCATTTGCTTCTGCCATCGCATCAGAACATTCTACTGCTTAGCCTGCTAGTGGACAAAAGCACTCGTGTCCCCAGTCATCCTAGCTAGCCATTCCACATCAGTCAACGGCCAGTCAAACCCTGGACATGAGTACAATCCAGCCAAGATCAAAAGAGCCGTCAGGTGATCCAAGGCCAGCCTCAAATGCGTGAGCAAGTCCAGCTGAGATCATAAGAGTTCTGGCCAGTATAGCTGAACCTCATGTCCCATAAGCTAAATAAATGTCTAGCATTGAAATTTTATGTCTGCTGTGGGACATTATTGTGGCAATAGGTAACTGATACCACAAGTACTGGATATAATGTAATTATGACTGTCTCCTGGCCTCTGTAACAGATTCATTCTGGTCACTTAACCTCACAAAAACATAAGCTGACATTTTATGTCAGTGACGTTTTTAGACCTTACACATAGGGTTGAAATAGTAGTGTTGGTGGTGGTTTACTGTATTTTTATTAAATTCTCAAATTAATTTAGAAAGGCCTGTGAAAAAGTTGATGTATTGAAACAGTGAGTGTGGGTGGAAGGAAAGATGCCCAAGAGAAAACTACATTCTTTAAAATATATGTATAACTTCATAGAAAACAAAAATCTGAAGGCTTAGTATATATCTCAGTTCATTTTGTTCTGCTATAATAGTCTACCACAGACTGGGTAATTTACAAAGAAAACAAATTTATTTCTCACAGTTCTGGAGTTGGAAAGTCCAAAATCAAGCCTCTGGTATCTGATGAGGGCCTTCTGGCTGCATTAGCATATGGTGGAAAGTGGAAGGGCCGGAGAGTGAGCAAGAGTGGACCCAAACTGCTTCTGTAACAAATACACTCTGGAGGTAAAGACCACACATCAGCAACAAGGATGTCAATCCATTCACCTCTCAACACTGTGGCACTGGAGATTAAGCTCCCAACACATGAAGTTTGGGCAACACATTCAAATCATAGCAGTCTGAAAAAACTTTTTCCTTTGCTCTCACTTCTATTTTCAACTACCTATTCAATAAGTAGCTAGAAGTCAATTGTTTCCTTGGAAATGCTTAATGGGGATATTACTTCATGGTAGACAGGATGTTTAAAATGTTCATAATCATGTTATCAGTTTTCTTATTTTAACAAATTTCATTTTGGGTGACTTTTCTATTTCATAGATAGCTTTTAATGTTAGAATCAAGTAACATGATTCTTAACACTTGAGCATCCAATGTAATACTATAAGAAAATGACTGACGGTACTGGGAAACTATGGGGAGAGGGGGATAGGATTAACAGTAGCAAATATCTGTCTGGGGATGGGAAAACACCTCTTATCAACAGGGTGCCTGAATGAAACGTAATTGTACACCTAACCCTTAACTGTACCCCACAAAACCATAATAAAAAATACTGATTAATAAAAAAAAAAAAGAAAGAAAAACAAAACAAAACACTGTTTCCCACTGGATGACTTCAGAAATTGATTAAACCTAGTAACAGAGTGTTTAAAATTCAGTGTCCAGATAAAAAAGCAAAGTATTTAAAAGCATGAGGTGGAAAGTGGATTTGAAAGGGTAACTAGCTAAACTCCAATAGCATCTAGTTATTAAAACAGAGACACAGTAGGCTTTATTTGTCTATATTTAAATCCAACATTATTTTTCTCTATCAATAAGCCTTCTATCTGTAAAGGAGATTGAAAATTATATAATTAAAGTATGTGTAAGAGAGAATAAAGAAAAAGAGAGACAGAATGAGAACAAGAGGAGACAATATTAGTATGAGAAAAACTGCAGAAAATATGCAGATTTAACAGGATACAAAGCTCTCTCTATATTTTTTCATAAATGTACATTCGAAGCTCATTTTTTATCAGTGAACCTAGCTGAAGAATATCAAAGTCATCTTGTGTTAAAATTACTTTTATTCAGGATGAAAAATACAATATGTAACCAGATTAGATGATAGTCTGTGATTAGTTCTTTACCACACATTTCAAAAGAACTACATACTTATTTTCCATTGTTGTTACTGCAATATATTTCTTTTTATTTATTATTACTTAGAAGATTACAATGTAGTGTTTTATGTAGTTTTTCCTTAGTAGCAGATAGAAGACATTTTGCATACAATTACAGGCAACAAAAATTAACACATGACTTTCAAAGTAAGAACAAGGAAGACACCAAATCTACAACTTGGAGTTCAGAGTTCAGGGAACTTTTTTTCTTTAAATAGGTACTTTCTTGGGTATGATATGGCCTGATAAAAGCTCTAGACTTTGCAGACTGCAGTTGGCATAAAGCTATTTCCAACGCAATGGATGAAGATGGATTTGAGGTAGAAAGGTGGTCATGGCTTTCCTTTTATATAAAACAATTTTCTTCTTCTCAAAATATCTATGCTGCAAATAAGCACCCTTGCCCCCAACCCACCCAACCTATTCTAAAATAATAGCTATTTCTAACTTTAAGCCTCCTTCTGGCCAGACCCCAGTTAAAGAGAACCCAAAGTTAAAATATCTTGATGTTTTAAAAGCACATTATGTTTGAATCAAACACATTATTTTCCTTTTTTTTGTTTTTGGTTTCTCTACATTTGGTAACTAAGTAACATGTTTAAATGGAAACAATTAAATGTTAAATCAGAAGCTAAACCAATACACTCAAAGATGTAGGTGGTGTTACCACCATCTAAGCATTAATTTCATTTTTCTGTAGAAGCAATGACATAGACTTTTGATAAACATCCTTCCCAAATATATCGATCAAGTGAAGGGTAATAAAACATGTTAATTCACCCAAAAGGTAAAATAAGCCATGCACTAAATTTGTGTCTGCTTTCGGAAATAAAATAAAATTATCAGGAGTTTCAAGAATTATTAAAGACTTGAAAATACAAAACAACAATAAAATTATCTTTAAAGGGAATGAAAGACAATGATGTGTTCTGATATCACAATAGGTCAAGGTGTGCTGTGCATTTAATAATGACAACCCAAATCTGGGAACTAGGAAAGGTTGTACCAAATTTTGTTTCTATGTCAACAGGAAAATATGCTTAAATGGGCAACCTTTGGTAAAATGATCTTCGAGATTATTATAATGCAGTCTTCTCTATCATATAGATTAGGACAAAAAATAAATATTCAAGTCCTACTTATATAAAAAAGGGAATACAATGCAGGGAAAAATATCCCAATAGAAATGCCATTTAGGGCCACAGGAGTTTTACTGCGGTGATCCAAGTGGTCACCAAATAAGTAAGAAGAGGATGTCAACTAAAGTTAACGGTATATAGAGGGCTGTAGCCTAATCCATATAGATATTTTATATATGTATTTGTAATATTTGATTGAAATATGTGAATGTATTAATTATGCCAAATTGTGAAAGCAAATACATGGAATCTGTTTGGTCATGTAGCTGATGAATTATAAATAAGGAAAACATTTTGATAACAGAATCAATGAAATAAATGAAGTTATTGTACAAGGTTAATATGAACAGCAGAAGGAATGTAAAAATGTCAAGTGGTCTTCTAATTCTTATGCAATTTGTGTCATGGTTTTTAAAAAGACGGCATCATATTAGAAAGCCCCCACCCACTTTCCCAATGCTGTATACATTATACAAATCAGTGACAAATGTATTACCATTTCCAAATACCTCTCTGTTCATTAATATACATTTGCATAGAAAGGGAAGAAGAAAACAATAATATACGGTTATTATAAAAACAAAATATCCTTTTCTCTTTGGATATAGTCAGTGTTTTACTCCTTCAGTAGAACACACAGTCAGCGCTCAACAGTGTGGGTCATGGACAGACATGGAGCTTCTGATTAAATGAAACTTGAAATTGGCATTTGCTGAAAGGGGCAATACTGCATGTCAGGAAATGTTGGTTGGCTAGATGAATACTTCACATTGCCTGCAGGAAGGGAAAATAGCACGGTCAGAACAACATTTACATAAAACATTACAGGTAGCAGAGATCGGTCAACTCTTCAAGGAAATGAAAGCGCCTCTTTCAGAATCAATCTTAACTCCCATGTGGCCTCTGCTCTATGACTTCTGTTCCCTGCAATGAAGTCCTTCCCTCTTATCCTGAAGTTACCCCACCTGCTTTCTATCACTGCATCTGATTCAGAGGGAAGTCTGGAAGTCTTTTATCTCGCTCAGGCTGTAACCCGAATTAAAATTGAGAGGACTTGTATTCTTTCTACTGAAGGTGGATGAATAGGCCGGTACAAACTCTCTCTCCACTATGGGAGGTCTCCAGTAGAGTGGGTACCCTAATAATGCCAACCCATCTCAGTCCCATGCTGTAGTCCAGAGAAGAGAAATAAAAGACAGGAATCATAATCCAAGGGTATGCAGAGGTGCCAGTTAAAGAAACATTAATAAGGGTACCTGATCTCAAACCAGGCAAAGTGGGGACCAACGGGAGGCCCAAACTTTACCTGTACAATGAGCACATGTATACCTAATACTGAATTGCACCCCACATCATTAAAATAAAATAAAAATTTTGTAAAAACTGAAAAATAAATAAATAAGCAAATAAATAAATAAATAAATGTTCCAGGGAAGAGAGGATATAAATCTAGGGCACACTCAGGAGAGTGTCATCAACCTTTTGAAGGGAAGGTCAAATAGTTGATCTTTTAAAGTATTTTGAAATTAGAAAAAAAAATAGAAATCACTCTAAAAGGAAATTATCCAAACAGGACCAGGCCTTATAAATCACGAGAGGTCTTTTAGGACTCCTAAAAAAATATGCTTTGTCTGTCCTTACCCCTTACTTTATGGGGGATATTGGCATGAAATCTTACTCCCTTGGAACTGTCTTCCCAAGGAAGTTGCTGGAAAAGTTGCCAGAGGGGCCTCTCCTTTCCCCAGGTAGGCCAGAAGCAGCAAACCCATTTGACTGTGACCAGAGCCCCCATTACTATTCAAATCTGGCTTCTTCAGAAACTTGCTTCTATACTTTGAACACTTCATTGTCATGTTAGAGGGCGAAAAAATTCAGCAAACACTGAGAGGATGCCCGCTGGATTCCAGGCATCATACTGAGGCTCTCACAGGAAGCCTGTGTGAAAGATATCTCAGCAGTGCAGTCTCAGCAAGTCTCATTCAATTCTAACACAATGTAAGTGCTGACCATAAGTCAATTCAAAGTAGTTTGAGAACAGAGACGGGGAGAGATTAATTCTACCTGAGAAAGGAACATGTTACATATAAATATTGATCACTAATGCTTTGGTGCCGATGCATATTGCAAATAAAGTCTAAGAGGATTTTAAAATTATCTCTGTTCTCTATTGTCCTTCAGAATTGGATGTGTCTATTAATTAGATGCACAATTATTCTCACTTTTTAAGCATCAGAATTCTAAAAATTTAACGTTATGCTATGTAAATGTTAACTTAACTCTCTAAGTGAAAATATACACTTTTCACAAATTTCCATATGACCTAAGACATAGAAAATGAGAAGAGGAGGAAAATCCTGAAAGGGCACAAAAAAAACAAACAAACAAAAAGGAGGGAAGGATAAAAAGAGGAAAGGGATCTCCTGCATTGAGTCTGATCTGATGTTTGCTCCTTCCACTAAGCCTAGCTCTTTTTAAACTCAATTTTTAAATTCTAAGAACAAAGTAGGAGGCAAGGATCTCTAAGATCACTTTCTGTTTTAAATTCTGAGCACTTGTAAAGTATTTGAAGATTTAAAAGAAGATTCTCTCTTCTGTCCTTGGCCTCTGTCAGTTACAGCCTCCTCACCACCACCTGGAGACTGTCAGGACTAACCTCATCAGACCCATTTTATCCTTGTTCTTAATGGGTCACCATAAAATGCTCCAGACTTCTTGTCTCCTTTTCATCACCTGTAGTCTGCTTCATCTACAGACCCGCACACTCCCCATGTCCTGCCCTCTCTAGTTCTTGAAACCTGTGCTCTATGCCCTCTAGCTCACATGGTCCATGATCAGCAAAACCAAGAGTTCGCAAACTCTCCTCTGAATGCTGCCTTCACTTGCTTGTTCTAATCAATATCTGAATCTCTCTGAAGACAGACTTTTTCCTCACACACTGCATGAATATCTTCCTAGGCCTCCAATTAAGGCCTTCAGAGCATCTTTTTTCTCATCTCCCCCAAAAACACTCAGCATTGACCTCATGTCATCAGACTATACCAACCCATTATACAGTTAGCAATTGGCTCCTTGGGTCATGGTCCCTCACTCTTGAACAAAAATAACTCAGTGTTACCTACTGTAAAGCTGTGTTTAAATCTTAGCGAATTCAACACCCACAGAGATGATTCTTCAAACATTATGGCCTCAGTTTTTTGGGCTCCTTTCTTCCAACAATCCCATCCTCCACCCTTCTTAGCGATGTGCTCAAAGGTACAAATATGAATCATCACCAATATTTGCAACTTTTCTAACTTTTCTTTTGCAAGTTTTAATTTCAATCATGCGACCTTTAGACAACCACCTCTATCTTTCCAGCTCACTTCTACTAGGACCACATCTTCATCCATCCTTTGAAATTAATATCCATTGATCTTTCTCTTTTTATTTCTGTCTCCACACAGGACATGTCCTCAGCCTCTCTTACGATTGAGCTTAAGTATCTGGTTAAATTATTATAAATCACTTTTTTGTTCCTTCCCTTGAATCACTGTACTTACTTTGCCAAATCACAACTTCAACTTTGGTTAAATGCAACACAGTCCATTCTAGTGCTTGTGTTCATGAACTTGAATATAGCTGGAAGGCAACACATAACCTTGCAGACTGGCCTCATGCTAAATCCATGAGTGGCACCTTTAATGCTGTCTGTAGTCACACTCTATTTCTCAGTCCATCTGCCTTCCTCTTCTCTAAGCTGCTATCACACATCCTCCAGTCTCTCCTCACACCTCTGATACCTCCTCCCCAACCTCACTCCCTGCTGGTCTCGGCTTCCAATTCACGAAGACAACAGAAGCAAGCAGAAGACACCCACAGCTCTTGCCACATCCCTCGTCTACTTCACACATCCTTGTCTTCTAATCAGAGGTCCCAGCTCCTCTTGCCAATAAGACAGTCAATCAAAAGGTTCACCATTCCCAAAAGATTAATAAACAAGTTCATGAAAGAAAGTGTTCTCCAAAGAGCTCTTGTGGCCTTGTGGCACAATATTACTAAAAGTGTCTGAGAAAGAAAACAATGAAAGGCATAAGGCTATAGCTGCCGACAGTTGTCAGAAAAGTTTTAAATAAAAAATCACAACTTTCTGCCCATCAAAGTAACAAAACTATCTTTGTAGTACCAATCATTTTTTAAAAATAAAATCAATGTTCTGTGATAGCTACCTTAAGTAGACATTTGGGAGACCAGTGGTGGTCAAATCTATCTAGAGTGACTTTATGTATTACGTACTGTACCACTTAAAAGCTGTTAGAACACAGAAGATCAAATGCATAGTATTTTTGGTATCTGGAAGAACCTGGCTTGGGAGCCCCCTTCCTCCTGCTCCCACAGACTGACAAACTGTTGTACAGAATCAACTAACATTTAAACATCAAGCAAGTTTACTTTATTTACATAGAGAATAAAGTAGGAGTAAAATCAAGAGTAGCTCATCTGCTTACTCTAGGTTGTGATCAGTTAACTAATAAGCCAATCAACCCATTAACTCTTACCTGTGGCCTGCTGGGGACATTGGCTGAAAGAGAAAACAAAAGAAATCAGATGAAGGTGACACTGTCACTTTGTAGGCTACAACTTTCAGGCATGCAAATATGTGGAAAGGACCACTCTACGAGTCCAGCTGTTAAATGGATGCTAATAGGAAAATAAGAAACAGGTCTGAGTTTCTTTCCTGGCTAAATGCTTTAACAAGGACTAATTTTCCTAGTTAGCTTCTCATATCCCATGGGATTAAAGCTTTAGTGTCTACACTAAAGAACTCAGTGAGCATTTAATCTTGCAAAAAATCACATTCCTTATTTAAATCATGACATGTATTTGGTTTAAGTATCAGAACAGAGCAAATTCTGTTTAATTTGCCTAATAGTACAAATTTTGACCAGGGGACCTTTGAGGCATGAGTCTTTGGTTTCTGCCATTCACCCTTGGCCCACCCTTGCTCCTGAGACCTGGGGAGATGGTGGCCAAGTGCTTGCATCAAGGAAAGGGCTTGCCTAATCCTCAGCAACCTTCTGGATACTTGGGATCATAATACCTTGGATGGGATCATAATGCCTTGGATGGGCCCAGCTGGGAACACTGGAGAAGTCAGAATGTGGTGTCTGATTCACCTTTGCACATGGGTAGCTCAATTCCTTTTTGGTTCCAGAGCCCATGACAGTGAAGATGACCTGGCGGGTTTTGTGAGGGCAGCCACTACCAAATCTCTTCTCCAAGTCCTCTGTTTTCCATCCCTCCTTTCATGGCACAATCATCTTATTCTCAACACTCAGAGAAAAAAGAAGAGATCTGCCCCCTAATAATGGCAACATCTGTTCTCGGTCAATTAAGAACTGTCCCTAGTCATCTAGCATGTCGCACTCCTTCCATCTCTCACTTTTCTATGCTAAGGGGTAAGAAAGATATCAGTGGCTACACACTGGGTGCTAGTAGCTTTGTGAGAAACAAGAGCAGGCGTGAAGGGTACCCTTCCTATGACACTTGCAGGGAAAATGTTAGCCCAGTGTTTAGGGTAGGAATCAGCCTAAAATAAGCCTATTCCCATCATATCTGTAGATTACATTATGGGTTGGGGGGAAAGTAGACTGCCACATTGTCCAAGAGACAGATGAATTGAATTATTTTAAAGCATACCATAGGTCTCCACACTCTTTCTAAAAAAGACAGAGTTATGCTTCTCTTGCAAGTAACAAATATAACAAATAGTCAAACTCTAGACAAGTCTAATCCATTTTGCTCCAAGCCAATACTCTTAACCCTAAGCTTTTTATCAAATAAAAGGCTATGAGTATTCCCCTGAACAAATCATACAAACATATTTTGAAGGAAATTATTGCATTTCAGTAGGTTTTGAATTCTGGATGAATGTCATTCAAGCTTAATAAACTTAGGCAATTCACAGTGAAAATATGCCTGTGGGTCAAAAATAATTTTAAAAGCATTTGTTGGTCTAGCAAAAATTACTTGGCTTACTACCAGTATCCTGTAATATTTGAAGGACATAAATGAAAAACTGACCAAAAAAATTACACTAAAAAAGAAACGCTTACAGCAGTCAGTGGGAATTTTAGTGTGTACATTGGTTAATAGGCAGCAAAATTACATTCCCTACATTAACTCTTTGGCAGGAAGAGGTGCAAATGCCTCCCCTTCTATTCTGAAATGCAATATAAATAATTTTTCAATGATTTTAAAAGGCTATTAAGTCAAGTGTTCTATCATGCCCAGCTGGATATTAATTCAGATGAAGGAATTCTACGGTATTATGTGCAATAACGTGTAGACGTGGTTAAAAAAATTGGCATGGTATAGTAAACAATTCATGCAATTAGGATTTCTGAATACAAAGTTTCATTTTAATTCCAAGATTGCCAGAAGTGGAAATTCATTTGGGGCCATGCTAATTTTTAATCCACAAAGGCTCAAAAGTCAGGATTAACATGCAGATCAATTCATTGTATGCTGGTGACAAGCAATTTTAAGTTCTCATTAGTTACAGGGACTCAAGGGATTGGCTTGGCATTGGAAGGGTGCCAATCTGATTTGTTTAGATAAATCCTCCAAAGGTGGTCAGTAGGCTTTGGGAATTGTAAAGGCTTATTAAACCATTTGCCAGCTGAGCAACTTAAAAGGGGCAACAAAGCAAATGAATCCTACAGAACCTTCTGAGTACTATTTGGGAAGGCTTCAACAACTAAACCTTCCCACTTAAAAAATGTAACCATTCGTTCACTCATTCATTCAATTCAGAAACATGTATTGGCACCAAGTCTATGTCACATGCTGATATAGAGTCCCTATCATCAATTTTTTAAAGGTTTGATGATTTTAGGTAGAATTTTAAAATATGTATCCATTTTATAAATAAGTCAATCAATGCAGCCTTTAGTTTTATGGAAAGCTGTCTCTATTTTGGGTGTTTTTACATAGCAAAATATGAACATAAATACGAAGAAGAGCAAACTAAACCAAAACTAATAGCAGGACTTTCAGAAGCCAAAAATAATATCTAGATTTCAAAGGATTAAATAAACTATTCATAATTTCTTGCTGAGGAGCTGAGGATATACTTGAATTCTTCAAAATAACACATGACTAGTAATGTTCGTTAACAGAAAACTATAAACATTAGAAATATTTGTGAATGTGCAAAGTTAAGATTATGAGAACATGAAGCCAGTTTCCCATTAAGGAATCTCAGCACTCCATAAACCACCCTCCAAACGCTGAGAATGAATGACACAGGTGACAAGTGTTCCAATACAAGGGAGAGGTTGAACCTCTGTGATGTGGGTCTCATTGAATACACTGTACATATTCTTTTCAGGAGTCAATATCCATGAATAGCTAATTAATTCCTAATCAATAGGAATTTTATACTTCCCTTTAAAGGGAGGAAATAACATGAGATGAACACAGTTGCTGCTTAAGATTCATTTTTGGTCTATAATTATGATTATTTTTAATTCATAATTAATATACTTAAAACTCAATCATTTTAAGTCTGTTTAAAAAGCACATACATTAGTCTTTTACAAATTCTAGATATCAGAATATACCTTGATAAAACTTTAAGAGTAAATTCTTTAGAAAATGACCCTTGTAAAAAAAATCTTACATTTTTAGAATAAAGTTTTTAATATGAACATTATACATTTTATATTAATTACAAGGCATGTATTTAAATACATTTCCCATCCTGGTTCTCACTGCCAACTGACTTTTAAATTGAATATGTCCACCATAACACTTAAATAAAAACTTGTAAATAGGCTTTGGCTTACAGAATTTGTTCTCAACTTAATATTAAGATATTTAGGTATGAGCTGAACTGAAATGTAATTTCATTTGGAAACTTAATTTTGAAATTCTGGCTTATAAAGACTATAATGGGCTTTTATTTAACCATTAAGTAACATACAACTCAAAATCAAAACCTCTAAAAAAAATTCAATTATAGAGTCAAGTATAGTTCATATAAAAGATTTAATCTGTTCACCTATAACAGTGGTTACAGACCCTAGAGAATATGCCACAATCTAATAGCATGTGGACATTCACTAAGCCTTATAAGCTTTTGGGAGACTCTACAGAGCCAAAAGTGGGCATGTTTGTGCATGTGTGTACCTGTGTCTGTGTATACCTGCACATGCTTTCTGAGGGGCAAGTGTGAGGATTAACATGCTATATAAATGTGAGTCAGCAAACTTGAGAAACTGAATCATTGAATTATAAAAAAACAAAAAACAAAAAACTTGGGAAATGACACACTTGTAAATATAAACTGATATATGTATATGTTTGTAGAAACTGTAATATGCCCTTTAGGCAAATGCTCCTGAAAAGTCAGAGAAATATATTTTACTTTTATTTATTTATTTGTTTATTTTTCAGAGATGGGACTTTACTGTATTGCCCAGGATAGTCTTGAACTCTAAGCCTCAAGCAATTCTTTTGCCTAGTGCTGGGACTATAGGCAAAATATATTTTAAATAGCTGTTTTCACATCCTAATGATAACCTTTTTAAACTACAGAGTCATAAAAAATGAAGAACAATTTTTGATAAAATCAATATATCTTATCTATACACTCCTGATAATTGATTTCTTTTTTCTCATTTCATATATTTTCTAAGGAATTGACAGAAAAGGGTAAAATAAGAGGCTATGCTTTATATAAATTCTTAGTTTAGTGACTGCCTAAATTTAAAATCAGTTTAAAGGGAAATAATCCTAAAATTATAAATACTATCTTCATATCTTTTAAGAGATTGTTTAAAATATAATTGTAGCATCAAGTAGTGTGTGTGTGTGTGTATATGTATACACACACACACATATATATATACACACACACACCTTATACAAGTAAACTGTTTTTGTTTGAAACAGCCGAAGTGATTTAGGTGAGAGCTCAGTGGAAATTGCAAGGTAGCAAGATGCTAAAGCCAAACATTTGGAAAAATGAATAAATAAAGATCATTATATAAATTTACCTGGGAGTCAGACTGTGGCTTTTAGTTATTCATATGGAAACTATGCCAGGTCCTAATCTGTGATGACTTAAATTGTCTGACTTTTATACAATGACTGTTCTATTCCATGAGAAAAGAAACTGGGGGAGGGGGAAGAAATCTGAAAATAATCCATTTCTGCACTAGTATCTGATGACATCAGAGAACAATGTCTGAAGAAAAAAGAGGGAATTACATTAAAAGTGCTCTTTTCATGCTTTGTTTGGCATGCTTCTAAAAGTTCTTCTTGGAATAATATCTGTTTCGTTTTGTGCATTGAAGAGGTTATGACTTCTTAAAATCAGACTTCTTATTGTATTTGCCTTCATTTTATCACTCATAAGGCATATTGAAAAATCTCTAGGAGCAGCAGTACATTGACACTGTACCCCAGTGATGTGGTGGTATCTGGGCTGAGTTCCATTTTTTGCTTTTAACCAAAGTATGTAATGTTTGCCTTGTTTTCAAATAACCTTCAGTCCTGTTTCTAATAATGCTTTTGTTATCTTACTGAAGACAAAAGGCTGCATGCAGAAAAAGAGAAAGGGAAAGGAAAAGCACAACTGTGGCATTATTATCTTCATACTCACAGCAGCAAGATGGAAATGTGCTGTTGATCTGCTCCATGACCTCTGTGAGATCTGTGCTGGTGTCATGCGGTGGAGCCAGCAAGTCCTCTCCCGCTGCAACAGCACATAAAAAAGAACAAACTTTCTAAAATCAATATTTAGCCCTCTACCAAAACCCACATTCTGGAGAAAATGCTACTACCAGCCTCTAAACGTTGATAGGAAAAGAGTTTCCCCATCAAAAAAAAGAAGAGTTCCCATTGAAAAAGACCATTTAAAAGGAAAACCAGTAGGGCTCCGTGGCTCAGCCTGTAATCCTGTGCCTTTGGGAGGCTGAGGTGAGTGGATTGCCTGAGCCCGCGGGTTCAAGACCCGCCTGGGCAACTTGGCGAGACCTCATGTCTACAATAAATCAAAAATTAGCTGGGCGTGGTAGCGTGCGCCTGTAGTTCCAGCTACTTGGAAGGCTGAGGTGGAAGGATTGCCAGAGCCCAGCAGATCGAGGCTGCGGTGGCCGGTAGTGTGCCACTGCCCTCCAGCCTGGGTGACAGAGTGAGACTCCAACTCAAAAAAAAAGGAAAACCAAAGAACATTTTAGTATTGATGTTGGTAATATAATTTTACACAATTAAAATGTACTAGATGTTTGTGTAGAAAGAAACCATGCACGGGGGAAAATATAACACTGAAAAATAAGTAATGTAGTCATATTTTTTAATGTATGAGTTAGAAATCTATTACTTTGCATTGCAAGTGTTTTTTCATACAAGATAAATATTCTACTAATTTTCTTTTTTCCTTCCTTTTTTATTTTTTGGAGCCTTCGGCATAGGCTAGCTTATTCTGCCACAAAAGTAAAGGTATCTTATAAAATACTTTTCCCTTTGTTGTGTTTTATATTCTATAATCAATAGTCAAAATAACTGTCATATTCTTAAAAATATTAAAACAATATTTTAGTTTTTCTTCTGATTAATGTGTCAAAAGATAGCCCACAAACTAATTAATTTGGTTATAGTATGTGGTCCTCAGTAAAATTTCAGAATTTGAATTTCATTGATAATAACATGTTACTCCTGAACATCTAGTTAACTGAGTTCATCCTAGTATTACTGACAGGTCCCCTCTGTGGCCAATGACAGGCTGGGTGGGACCTCTGCCTCAGACATGGAGAAGGAAAGTCTACATGGACTACGATGGAGAAAAGCAGATGAATAAGTTCCCAGACTTGAGCAGAGAAAGACATAATGTTTGGTATAATATTATTTAGTGCTATGTCCTGAATATGTAAAAATGTGAAATTTCAGAGACAGAAAATGCACATGTTCTCAAAGCAAACATTCTCAAAGCAAATTAAAAAATATTTTCTGGATCATTCTAAAAGGAAAAAGTAGTTTTTCCACCTTCCACCAAAATTCAACCCACTACTACATATTATATAAGCAGGTGTATTATAGCTGACTATTATACAATGTTTGCTTTTTGAGATTGTTTAAATGGATTTGAACTTAGAGAATACAAAGCTTTTTTATGCCCTAAGGCAGCAATCCCCAACTTTTTTGGCATCAGGGACCAGTTTTGTGGAAGACAATTTTTCCATGGATGGGGGCGGAGGGGATCACCTGGCATGAGATTCCCATAAGGAGCATGCAACCTAGATCCCCTGCAAGCGCAGTTCACAAATTCTCATAGAAATTCGCGCCCCTGTGAGAATCTGATGCCACTGCTGATCTCACAGCAGACTGAGCTCAGCTTGCATGCTGCTCACCTCCAGCTGTGCGACCCAGTTCCTAACAGGCCACACATGGTACTGGTCCTAGGTCCGGGGCTTGGGGACCCCTGCCCTAATATACCAATGTGCAAGAAGGCTACTTAACATGAAAGACAAACAAATATTAATGTACAAAGCTGACTGGGCAGAGTAGCTGTGTTTGAAAACACCGACCTGCCTGGTGGAACTGTGGGCCAGGGTCTGGATCCAGCGCGTAGCTCAGGGCCGAGTGCTGAGGTGAAGTCCAGGGGGAGACACCATTGATTCGGGAATCAGATTCAGGCTGGAATCAAATTCCGAGGATAAAGCAGGGAAGGATTCGAATCACCACAAACTTTTCCTTTAACTTCCCCTCCCTCACCATAGATAATTACATCATGCACAGTTATTTGTCCTCAGACATTTTCAAACACATTTTAGCATCAGCTGGGATCACCGGTACTTCACCTGAACACTAAATGGTCCCTCCCTTTCCACCTTGAAGCACTCACTTGGTTATACTGCAAGACTTATTTATCAATGACATTTTCATCCCTCAATTTTTATCTTATTTTTACGCCAACCAAATGAATTTAGAAATGTGTTTCACTCATCTTGAAAAAATTAGTACTGGGCTTCTAATATGGTGGATTTATCTAATTTCAAAATCAGCATATTTAAAGGCAATATTGGAATGTGGCGAAGAGCGTAATTTTGGATTCAGATTGCCTGGATTCCAATCACTCTGCTACTTAGAAGCTGTGTAACTCTGGGCAAATTATATAACCTTCTATGCCTCCGATTCTTTATTTGTAAAATGGGCATGGTAATGACAGTGCTTGTGCCATAGGGTTTTGTGAGGGGAGTGATGAATTACTATTTCTGAAATGATCAGGACACTTTCGTACCTAGTAAATATTTTGCAAATGTACTCACACACACATCTTTGAAATGGTGATGGATATGTTGACAAGTATATGGTCAAATTACCAAGAATGATCCACTGTATAAGGAATACAGGAGTTATCATTTTTTTAATGCAAATTTTTCCATTAAATCTATATTAATTGAGGCCTGGTAGTTTTGCCAGTTTTTACTATCAGAGTTGAATTTTCCATCTACTTCTGGCATTCATCATGCTAAATCATTAAGAAGAGATAAGAGCCCTTACAGTCTGAGATATACAGAGCCATTTAGATATCAGCTATCTCAAAAAGCATTACTGTGCAATTCTGAAGGCACATGAGCCATTAGGCAGCACTGTCTAATGGGATGGAGAGAGTAGGGGAAGGTAAGGGTGAGCGGAAGAGCCTTTCACTCTCCTAAGAGCATAAGCAAGCCAAGGCAGAGAAAGCTTTCGAGCACAGCTTCACTCTGCAGCAATCCCATCTAAGCATTAAGCTGTTACACTAATACTTCCTTCATATTCTACATAAGAGATTGCAAGAGAAAACCCATCCCTGACTCAGATACCATTTAGAAACTTCAGATTCACAGTACAAGCAAGATAGGTTTTCCTATGTATGTGACTGGCACCAAGGTAAGAGTCAAATATTCCGGGCTTCTAGAAAGCCAGGTCTTGGGTTACTCTTGAGGATCTCTTATTTTCCAAAGATGCAGAATTCGGAGGCCCTGAAGTAAGCCTTACACAGAAAAGCTCTACACAAATTCTGTAACAGTGAGAGAGACAGAGAAAGATATGTGGTCAAATGATAAAGAGTGAACTATGGCCCACTGTATAGGTAATGCAGAAATGATTCTGGTTTGAATAATTCTGACAAGTTGAAAGGGCTGATGGTACACCGGGCTCAGTGGCTCAGCCTGTAATCCCGCGCCTTTGGGAGACTGAGGTGAGTAGATTGCCTGAGCCCGCGGGTTCGAAACCCGCCTGGGCAGCGAGACCTCATCTCTACAATAAATCAAAAAATCAGCCGGGCGTGGTAGCGCATGCCTGTAATTCCGGCTACTTGGAAGGCTGAGGCGGAAAGATCGCCGGAGCCCAGCAGGTCGAGGCTGCGGTGGCCGGGAGCGGCCACTGTACTCCAGTCTGGGCGACAGAATGAGACTCCAACTCAAAAAAAATAAAAAAGAAAGGGCTGATGGTAACTGTGAAAAGATGGTTTTCTGAAGAGAAAGTTGTTTCTACGTTGAGTCAACAAACCATTTCTGGAGAAAGGCATTCCTATCACACTGCCTAAAGGTCCCATACGGCACAGACTAGAGAAGAAGGCACGAATGTTGATGTCAGGGATTCTTTAAAAGAGAGAAGTTACTGACCTCTGTGCTGGGATTCTACACTCTATGTACCTGCTACAAAGGTTTTTCCATCACTAGTTCTATGACATGACTCCTATTCCTAAATGCTATGTGCAACTAAGTACTTAATTCTCTACATTACATTGTGTTTTTAAATATGATACTATCTTTTTATGATCCCTAACAAGACTACAGGTACCAGAAAGGTAAAAACCGTATTGATGTTTCTTTTATAATTCCAAAGAACAGTGTTTTTCAAAATTGCAAGCCATTACCCATTGATGAGTTATACAATTGATTTAGTAGGTCTTGGCCAGCATTAAGAAAGCAAAAGAGAGAGAAGAAAAATAGAAGGAAGGAAGAAAGGAGAGAGGAAGGAAGGAAAAATAGAAGAGATGACATTTCTCCACAGGGGCAAATATTACTTTGCATTCACCATACATGCATGCATTCACCATAATGTAAACTGTATTTCTTATCATCCAGAAAGTTTGCAAGCAACTGCCATAAAACATGGTTCAATGTTAGGAAGTAATAGCAACAAATTAATAACTATCTGTTACTCAAGTTATTGAAAATAGAAAATAAGGATTCCCCGAGTTAGCATTCTTGGCTCACTGAAGAAAGCTCTAGCATGTAAATTTCAGGTCACTCTATCCTTGCATCGCCACAGATGTAATTTAGCAGATATGTGTCATAGGATATTTTCCCTCAAACTACTCAGAGCTGAAACAGATTTCAGTATTCAAGAAAAATGGGAGATTTTATTGTTAGCTGGGCAAACACGCTTTGTGTGTGTGTCCCAGTGAGGATTTAATGCTTACATGTGAGAAGGAATTGCTAAGGCAGTCTAAATGAACTACGAGGGTGAGAAATTGAAAGGAGAACTCTCTATCTCTCCTGACACCTAGACCAAGTCCCAGGGCAGTGGACAGGTGGTGTGGGGAGGCGTGACACTGAATTCTGCACACCCTACCTGCTCCAGCAGCTGTCGAAGGCGGTGGAGTTGAGACTCCAGCTGTTTATTGTGATCTTCTAGAATCTGCATCCTAGCCTCCAGCCGACCTTTGTGCTGCCTGAGAAGTTTTGCTTCTGCTATAAGTTCTGAATCCTCGGACGTGTGATGAGGAGACACAATCGAGTCTGGGGGAGAACCGACTGGGAGCCCCCTTCGGAGGTGCTGATCCTTCAGCTGCTCATACTCCACCTGCAGATTTCTAACACAAAAATGGAAAAAGTGGAATTACTAGCGTGTCCACAGACTACTCTCCACAATTGCCTGTGAGCTTCAAATTTAGCTTACGCTATCTCCTCTTACATAAAATGTGTATGGATAGTAAAATGAGCATGCGTGAATGTCCCAGGAGACATCACAGAACCCCAAAATGCTGCTGGATCTTCAGCCTGTATCCCAGCTTGTTAATGTCCTCTGAAACTTTGACTCCACCTTGGTTTCTCTGAACAACAGTCCTGAAAAGAGAATGTGTAGGGACTACACTGAACTTCATGTGAAAGAAAGGATGACATATTCTCTTCTCCCAGGCCTGACATACCTTTGTTCTTCTTCCAGGTCGGCAATGATCCGCTCCAGTTCTCCACGTTCTTCTCTTTCTACCGACTTCAGGATCTGAGCTGGGCTCTGTGGCTGGCTTACCGGGGACTCCCCTCCAAGTGTCTGGCAGTACTGCTGGATAAGGGCATGCTCATCCTCGCTAGAAAGACAAAAAAAAAGAAACTCAGAGGATCACATACAGATAGTGATTTCTCTAGACATAAAGGAAGTAAAAAGGATGAAGAACAGGATGGTGGCTGGGCCCAGTTTGCCTTAGAGCTCAATGTCTCCATGACCTTCCTTTTAAAACTCTAGGAAGACATTCATCTAATGGCACATGTGTATTACACAAGCCAACATTTGGGGCTTTGCCTTAGTCTAACAGCTCTATGTCACAAGACTCAGAAAATATATTTTGCTCAACAGGAAATAAAAATAAGGCACAACACTTAAACAGTTAATATAAAAGCCATTGTAGGCAAAGTCAATTGTCGAATGCCAAAAGGGTAGATTAAAACACCATTGAGTAAGAATCAGCTGACTTCACTCTCTGTAGCATCTGGTTGAAAGCAATTCTGAAATGCTTTGTAACCCATAGGATGGTGTTTATAATCCTTATGTTCCTTTAATTAAATAACTTAGCACAAATTATAATTGTAGATGCTTATGAAATATCTATAGATTTTACTTGACCATTTTTAGGATGGGTCATTTTGCACTAAAACAAGAAACTACATTTAATTCACTTGGGTTCTCCCATTTATCTAACTGCACAAATTATAATTGTAGATGCTTATGAAATATCTATAGATTTTACTTGACCATTTTTAGGATGGGTCATTTTGCACTAAAACAAGAAACTACATTTAATTCACTTGGGTTCTCCCATTTATCTAACTACTTGTCTAATGAAATAGACATGACAATAATGCTGCTGAATTAATGACTGACATACACAGAAGTATAATAAAGCAGACAAAGCTGATATATTTGTGGCAAGGAAATGTTTTCCGGTAAACCCAGAATTCCTTCTCTCCCTTTAAAAGAGAGCTCTAGCCAGATCCCCTTGTAAATGTACAAATGTGGTCTGGCTAGTACTAGCAGGAGCGTCCTTGGGCAGATTGCACTTGGTCTGTTTTGATGGTTTTGGTAAACAATTCCTGGAATTTACGGATCTGTAGGATAGAGCATCAGGAAAACTTCATGCAAGCTATGTAGCTATCAGAGTACAAAATGGAGTTATCCCATGACAGATGCAACTCCTTTCTGTGTACGTGATGTGGCTGCAAATATCCACTAGAGACATCTGTTACTTTGGGGTTGCGGCACATCCTAACACCATAAGAAAAACATTGGTGTGTGGTACTGGCAGTCCCAAATCTTGCTCACCTTCACCCAGGGCCTCGAGATTACTTGTGCCCTTGAGCTGATTAGTAACACTTGATACTGGGCAAGAGCTCTGTTTCTGGTGACTATGATTTGGAAATCCATCTCGGGTATTATGGCAGTTTACTCTGACAAAGAGAGGACTTCAAATTGTATCCGAAATTTAGTGAATTCTTAGAAAAGGTTTGTTCTGAGCCTTAAAATCAGAGAGACATGATGATGAGAAAAATAAGTGTCACAGTGTATGCTTGCCAGACAGCCAGAACAAAGGTTTAGATGAGTCACCTGTTGATTTATTTTGCTTCCTTATCAATAAAACTCCCCCTCTATCTCTGTTTCTTTCACTCTCTTTCTCTCTCTATATAGAGAGAGATAGAGATATGTATGTGTGTGTATATTTAAATAAAGGTCATACATTTTTGTTAGGATCACAATATAAACATAAATCCTAACCCAACCATTCGTTTTTATCAAATAAATTTTAAAAGGGTAGGGGGGTGGGACTCTTTCAACACAGTTAGAAGCTAGAAATGGGAACATGAATGAGTTAAGGACTGAAGTAAGCTATGGCACCATCCTCTGATTCCCTTTCCTGAGAAAATTCAGCATCACTGGGAAATAAGTAAAGGAGCCTCTAGAAGAATCTCGTGCTTATTCCTAGGCTTAGAAGGATGAGAAGAGGAGAGGATGTGTACTACACCACTGCAGAGAGAAGATCCAGAAGGTCCTCAGTTGCCCATGTAGCTGAAACAAACAGAAATCTGGCAAAGAGATATGGGCTGTGTGTGTGTGTGTGTGTGTGTGCGTGTGTGTGTGTGTGTGTGTGTGTGTTTTCCTGACAGGAAGTAAGTGGCAAACACCCTAAACTTAGCTGTATTATGCAGGGGCAGAGACAAGCTGTGAGACTAATGGCTATACCATTGGGATGCCAATTAGCTGCTATGGATCATGCAACCTGAAGTCAGTGATGCTTAGAGGTACCTCACTCAATTCACATAGAGAGAAAGGCAATAAGAAAGAATAAAAAGTATAGCTCTACCCTGTGGACAGGACAAATAGACAAAGTACAAAGACATATTAGATATAAAAGAAAATAATAGCAAAGTGAGTTACAGTAAAACATTTTGTAAATATTTCTCAGGATGAAAAAATCTGGGTCTAGAAACTTAAAAAGACAGAGTATCCAAAAAATAATCATAGAAAAAGCAGAACATTCATTCACACATATCCCAGGAAAATATCTATATTTTAAGGACATAGCATTATAATCAGCCAGAAATCAAAATAAAACCATACAACATATTCTGAAGAAGAAAAAGGTTTACCTTCCTCCTCTCCATAATGTTAGATGCCCAAAGACAATGCAGTAATATCTAGAGTCCTAACCTACCCATTCATATGACCAGCCAGGTCATCATTCATATGTACAGGCAAAGCATTTTGCCCCTTTGACGAAATAAAGAATGAGCAAGGATAATGCAAAATAGAATAGAAGTAGATGGTCATCTTAGATGTTACAATAAATAAGAGGCAAATGGTTTCTCATATTGGTTATAAACAGTTAATTATGCAATACCTACACATAATATACCTCAAAGAAAATAATAAAGACTGAAAGTAAAAATGTAAAAAAAGAAGTAATATAAGGTCAACAAGAATTAAAAGAAAACTTGGGTGTCCTAAGTTACCTAGCCATGATTTGGCCACAAATCCTGGCACAGACTTTCTCTGATATCACAAGGTATTTACCTCCTCAGATCATTTATGCCAGAACTTGACCTCAGAAATTAAATTTAGTGCTTAACATTAACACCAAGTAAATTTTTGTTTTAAAGATTTGAGGATTGACTATCCATGCAAAACCAGTCGAAATTAGAGTTGAGATGCATTTTGTTGTCAACATTCACATAGATTCATTTCCCTAGGGAAGCTGATGAAGGGTAACATATTATAATTTTCATCGCTACTATCATTACATTCTTTCATTAAGGTATCTGGAAAAGAATGAAGGCAATTCTCACAAAAATAAGAATTTAGTAATCATTTGTATATAGTGTATAATTTTAGTCTTAAGTGTTTTTCACAGATTATTAGGTCTAAAAGTTAAATATAAAAATAGATACATTCTAATTCTTAATTATATACAGTCAAAACTAAGAGTATACTCTTTAAATGCAGATAGAACATGAGGTAGAAGATAAGGGTCATTAAAAACCAATTGTGTGTCTTGTGCTAATACAGAAAATGTTATAAAAATATAGGTCTGCACCAACAAAATACCATTGCATAGAATATAATTATACTATATTTAAGTCACACATAGTAAATACTATCTAGATTACAAAATTAGTGCATGTCAGACAACAAAAGAACTGTGATTCATTCAATGAGCTTTTTAAAGTAGACAGGACATAAATAAAAATAACAATAATTTTCTTCTTTTTAAAGATTGTTCTGTTTTAGGCTTCAGATTTGCAAACTGCATTGCCAGTGCATAAACCACAGCCAGCCTCCTCATTCTATCATCCCACATTAAACAGTGTCACCCAAGGGCAGACAGCAGATGGAGCGAGACATCCTGATAGCAATGGCTGAAGGAACCGTTGTCCTTGAGTTTCTGCTTCTGAGATTCCCCAGAAGCAGACACTAAGTATCTTTAAAATTAATTGTCTTTTAAATTGTCCAGAGTCAGTCTCTAGAAAAATATGGAGTACTGGGAATTGGATCTATGTGTGGTAAAAAGCCATGAGATTGGTTCATATTCTAGGCTGTGGCAGTAGCAGCCCAGGATATGTGAAGGTGCGACAAATAATTAACCTGCTTCATGAAAGATGAAAGCCATGGAGTCAGGGAATTGCTTCCATAAACCAATTTGGGGAAAAGAGAAAGGTTCAAATTGCAAGCAGAATGGTGGCTTCTGAAGACACAAATGACTAAAAGGGACTTAGGTAACTTAAAGAGAGAATTACAAGTCAAACCTCAACATTCTTATCTCAAGGCATAAGGCTTTTCTTTTCTTTTCTTTTTGAGTCAGAGTTTCCTCTGTGCCCAGGCTGGAATGCAGTGGCACACTCACAGCCACCACAGCCTCGATCTACTGGGCTTAGGCGATCCTTCTGCCTCAGCCTTCCGAGTAGCTGAACTACAGACAGGCACCACCACACCCAGATAATTTTTTGACTTATTGTAGAGATGAGGTCTTGCCAAGTTGCCCAGGCTGGTCTTGAACCCATGGGCTCACCTCGGCCTCCCAAAGTTCTGGGATTACAGGCATGAGCCACTGCGTCTGGCCAAGGCTTTTCTTTTATTGCCAAATGTATGACTGAGATCACCCCAAATCAAACTTAAGAGATTGATCCAGCAGGTTATTGATTGTCAAGGCTTCGGAACTAAAAGCCTAGTCAGGTCTTGAATGTGAAGCCAGGGCATGGGTGGATAACAGGCAGGATTGGAACAAAGACAGTGATGACCTCCAAAAGGACTGGACGGATCTGCAGATCCTCTAGCCCATGCCAAACACCACCCCTCCTGGGAAGCTGTCTCTCTTCCCAAGGGAGCAGAGATGGCACAGTAGCTTGGCCAGGAGCACCCATACTTAAGTCACAGCTCCACCACTTAATGACTTTGAGGGCAAGCTCCTTAACCTCCCAGGGCCTCCACTGACTCATCTGTAAAATGGTGCCAACAATACAAACAAGAATTTCATTTCAAAGGGTTTCTAAGAGAAGTAGACAAATAAGATGTGCAAAGTACTTCAAATAGCATGCTCTATATCCTTTTCATTTTATTTTAAGGATGTGGGGTTCAATTCAGGATTAGGTATATAAGTGGTCATCATACAGGTAAAGTTTGGGCCTCCCTTTGGTTCCCCACTTCACCTGGTTTGAAATAAGGTACCCTTATTGATGTTGTGTTCCCCCCTACCCTGGTAGTATCCCGCTACTGCCAATCCCTTTCTTATAGTATTATGGTAAATGTTCAGGATCCACTTATGAGTGAGAACATGTAGTACTCAATTCTTTGTTTCTGTGATAGATCACTGAGTATTATACATGCTCTATATCAAGGAGGAGGAGGTAGCAGCTGTTTTTGTACCATCACCATTATTATTCAAGAGAAAGCTCACAATGTTCTTCACAGACCAGTCTAAAATAACAGAAACCTCAAGAGGTGACAAGGTGTAAAGTGGAGAATTCGAAAAAAAAAAATTTCAACAAGAACTGTGGAAATTTGCAAACATATCATTTTTTGCCTACGGTGCTTTGAGTTGGCTTTCAATATTTCTCAACATCAAATAATTTCTAGCATCTTGAGGCTGCCTGCCTCCAGATGTAGGCCTGAGAATAAAAGCAGAAGAGCTAAGGCTGTCTTGGGAAGCCACCGACCACTCATTTAGAAGCTCACCGTACTGTTAGATGGTCCTGAAAACTGTCACCTACTGGGTCTCCTGGGATTGTATTGTGACTCTATCAATGCTGAAGCTTTAAGAAATTTCCAGGAAAAGGCCAAGTTGTTAGAGTATGTTGCACTCTTACTGCTACTGCTATATCATAAGGTCCTGTAAGAAACAGATGTTTGTCCTTGGGCAGGGAAGAGGGGGAGTAGAGTTTCCAGCAGAAACTTATTTGACAAAACCCAAGGATTGGGAAGCAGATCTGCTGTCTATGTGCACTTTGTAGGTACTCAGACTTGGCAGTTTCACAAACACCTGTGCTTCTCAGTAGGAACCAGGACCCAGGGAGAACAAAGGCCACTGCCAACTGTCCTGCTGTAGCACCAGAGGCAATAAACAACCCAGTCTAGTGCTTGTTGAAGGAAGGTATAAATTCTGGACAAGAACTAAGGTAGGAAATTTTTTTTTCTCTAAATATTAGTTAAAGACTCTCAGAGTACAAAAATGAAACTTTTTCAGAGTCAGGAATTCCAAGGTAAACAAACATACCTACCCAAAAGGATGACTCCACTGTGATGGGTTAAATATCCTGGATGTTGTATGTTTAAATCTGTATTTTACAAACCTCGATCATCTTCATGCCACTTTCCTAAATGCTACCACAAACACATATGACTAATTATGAAATGTTTTTTAACTGCCTGTAACTTGGAACACTCTAATTTGTACTCGTTTTATTCTAACTAATAAATTCATAAAACCATTGATTTGATTTGCTTCTTATAGATAGATTTTTTGAATATGTATTAAACCATATACACAACAATTTATTCAAATATTTAAAAATGTCTATTATCTCATATACTATTCCTTTTAGAAAAATCTGTTTTAGGTGATGCAAAAATATACTTTTTTGCAAATTGTTTAAACAATTTTCTGCCTTTAATTTTCTATAATTCTCAAGGGAATCAAATACACCCATAAATTTAACTGTAATGGTATCTGGAGGGAAGGGAGAGAGAGCTGTCTGGAGTGGAGCGGGAGGCCAGCCCCAAACCTTCTCCTCCATCCAAGGAAGGTGCTTATGGAAGTGACATGTGAAGCTGTCACCAGTGCCACCGTGGGAAAGGGAGCAGGGGTCCACAGTTGAGGAGGGGGCCATCTAGTGGACAGTCTGTGGTCACAGAGAGAGTCTGGGGTGAGCAGTACGTAATCCCATCCCCTGTTTTTAAATATCTTAAAGGCAGGTGACCTAAAGGCTATATGTGTGAGCCTTCTCTACCCTAAACTAGCTAAACAATAGATACCCCCTTTAACAAGTTAGAAAATAGTTTTGTTTGGTTGAACAGAAAAGGAAGAGGAAATAGACTGTCACATGTATTAGGCTATTACCAAGTCAGAAGTGAACAGCAATGAGAAAATGCTGAAAGCCTATTTTGATATTGATGTATTTACTGTAGTAATAGTTATCAATAATGCTGGTTAGAATGGAAATGTTTAAATAAGTAAATAGTATTTTTCAGTCAAGCCACTGGCTTTTAAGGTTTTGATGACCCAGACTACCTGTGAGCATTTTCACTGGAATGCCAGAATTACTGCATGAAAAGAACCCCAGTATACCCAGAAATTCAAGCTGTGAGAGAACAAAGAATCTCTACTTGGGGCCTTTAACAAAATGAGATTTATTAACCTCTTTGTCAAGAAAATACTAATGCACCAGTAACTGGAAAACCATTTGTCTTTAGTGGCCTATAAATTCTTATACCATTAATTTAACTTAATTTTACATGTAAGTGAGAATTTGTTTCTCTGCCTTTTCTGGCACCTTTAGGTAACCTGCATTCCTTCATTTTCTAAGCCAGCTATTGTAGCATCTGCAAATCTCTCTCTAGCTGACTTCTGCTTCCATAGTTACCTCCTTCTCTGACTCTGACTCTCCTTCCTCTCTCTTATAAGGACCCTTGTGATTACACTGGGGGGAACCTGGATAATCCAGGATAATCGCCCCATTTCTACAAACTTAACCCCATTGGCAAAGTTTCTTTTGCCATGTAAAGCAACATATTCACAAGTTTCAGGGATTAGGATGTGGATATCTTTAGGGGATCATTATTTTGTCTACCACGATGCCCTCACCATGTTCTTATCATAGGATCATGTATCTACCTCTCTTCTAGCCTGTAAGATTTATGGACTGTCCACGTCTATAGCTTTATTGCAGTATTTGGTACACAGCAGTGGCGTGTTGGTAAATGCTTCACAATATGTCTTCCAAAAGATAAAAAAATCATAATTTGTAGCACTGGCAATTGTTGTGATTTAAATACTTTCATCATGGCCAATTTTAAGCTAATGACTTCACTACATGTGGAGTTGGGAAAAGATACATGGTTGTATACCAGTTACCAGATAATGACCCCAAGGGCACAGATAATAGTAATATGAAGTAAAATAATTAAGGGATAATGAGTTTTGAATATTACCTTTATTTTTATTTTAATCAAATTGATTTAATTGTAACTATAGGCACATGTGTATATATTATCATTAACAAGAGCTCTGTTTATCAAACAGCCTAAAATCTTCCTGAAAATGTAATAACTGCCTCTCACAATTGGCTTTAGTGCATCATTGCAGTAGATATGTAATAAATATTTGTTGAATAGATGGATGAATACGTTAATACACCTATTGATAATATATTAATTAATTAAAATTTATTCCACTGTTAATCATCTGAGTTTTTCTTTTCTGAAACATTAGTGCTAATTTAAAAAATAAAGACTGTGTATTCTAATTTGAAGACAGGGCATACCAAATTTGAGCATTACCTTTACTCTGTTCACAGGGCATAACAAAACATTTTCAAGAGGTAAAATTGGGTCTGAGTTACTATTTTTTATTTCCCTTAATTACTTGGCTATTGTCAACCTCAGTGGAAGAGAACATTCTATATTAGCGTTCTTAAGGTACTTCAACTTGGGTCCCTTCATAATCTTTTTTAGTGAAGAACACCTCATCTACTATGTTCCACAATTTTTCTGATGCCTTATAGGTCTGTCTGCCTACCAGATCTGAACAATAAACCTGCGCAAGTTACATAAACTTGATCCTAATGAAGTTTTTTAGATATTATTCAGAATTAAAAATGTGAATTCCAGGGCAAAAATAAAAAAAGAAGAAAAAGTTCCAAAAGTAAGATGACACAACCGTGAGATAATCAGAGACAAAATATTTGCCAAGAAAAGTTCCACAACCAAGTTGAATATGCACAAATAGAAAAATTAGAGATAAAATATTTGCCTAGGGAGCTTTTAAAAAGGTATGTTAAAGTCAGTGAAGCTTTTTCTACTTGCAAATAAAATAAAATATTGGCAGAGGAGTTAACACTTTTCAATGAAGAGTGAGGAGTATATATCTAAGCATGTGTGGGTCAGAGTTGCTAAATGCAGACATTATGGAGAAAATGTTAGCTAGCAGAAGGGAGAAGATTTTACAGAAAGGCAAGTATTCTGTGAAACTACATTTGTTAAGTTAACAAGAAATATAAGACAAAATGAATAAATATATATACACCTGTTATTCTAAACAAAATAATCTGATTTTCCTGAGGCAGATTAATTCACCAAAGTGGGGTTTTTTTCATTAATTGATATGAAACAAAGTAAATAAACATACTGAATTTATATTACCATGACTTGAAAGCATAAAATCTATGTAGACATTTTTGGAACCACACTTATCAATTTTGATTGGGATCAAAATTCAGAGTTACAGTCAAGGGAGATTATTTCCGACAGCCGTAATACAAGAACAAGCCTTCCCAGGCAGTGCTGATTTCATGATTTACTTACACACTTCCTGTGGTAGAGCTGCTATCAGTGAGGAAAGACCCATTAGTCCTTTCCATTTGGGCCAGTCTACAAAATGAAAACAGGGACATCAGATAATGTGGTCACATAGGACATGGAGACCCATCCTTAGTCATTCTTAAATTGTCAAAACTTTGACAAAACACAGAAAGGTCCACATCTCTTCACAGGGTTGTAAAATTAAAACTTCTAATGCTGGTTACATTTCTGTCACCAGTACCTCAATGCCTGGAAGCCTTTATCTTGTGCCACGCCATAAGGTCTCCTAATTGACCCAGCCTCCTGTTGATCATCTCCCAGATCTAGGCTCTGCTTAACCCTCTAGTCAATCTTCAACAGTGAAGTGCGACTTACATTCTCACACAAATCTAATGATGTTCCTCTCATGCTTAAAGACTCTCCAAGACTTCCCTTAATGATGTGATCCAACTTCTCGGCAGCCTGGACCTTTATTATCAGACCTCACCCTGTCCCTTTATGCTATCTTATCCCTTTCCCTACCAGCATTCTGTTAACACGCCATCTTCTTTCCCAGCTCAATGCTTTTGAACACGTTTTTCTGTCAGCCCAAGCCTGCCTTTCCTCAGAAATTCTACTTGGCCTAGACTCAGTTCAAATGTTCTTATTTTTATGATGCTTGAACTAACCTTTTTAGGCATGTCTAGTCACTAGTCAACCCACAGATGCCTAGTATATACCACTTTTCTAAAAGTTTGTGCATACCATCAAGAATAGCCTATATTTTATATTGGTTAAGAACTCTAAAATAAACCCCTATCCTAAAGTATTAGCATAAATTTAATCACATATTATGATTCATATAGGCACCATCTCCTGAGAATACTTTCAATCCCTACTTTCATTCACTGACACTGAATTACATGATCTAAATCCTGCTTGTAGAGTGTTTGAACTCGATAATCATATCCTATTGAGATTTACTCTTCATAGAATATAGAGCAGGTGTTTGTTAAAGTGCAAACTGCAACATGAAAAGATGAGAGCCCAGATTCCAAATGTGATGGAATCACAACTTCTGCAAAAACACATTCCTTAAATCAAATGGCATCAGATTAATCAGAAGTAAATATATTCTGGGTGGCAGTGTGGCAGAGGACTCCTATCAGAGTTGCTTACCGTGTGGCATATTGTTCTATTCTTGAATGCGTGTCATCATGAAACAACTGAGGCGACTGGGAGGGGCTTCAAAGGAAAAAAAAAAGCAACAATTTTATGCCCAAATATTGATACATATCAGTATTAGAAATGTTAAATTAGTTAAATAATGAATTTGTCATGCAAACAAACCACTAGGATTGCTACCCAGGATGGAGAAGTATTGTTTTAGACCAAGTGAGTTTAGTAATCACCCCATGCTAATACAACTGATCAGAACATCCATCTCCTGTTTATGGGGCTGTGAATACTCACTCATAGTGCTCTGGCCACATACTGATGAGTGTGATAGGACTGCAAAGAGGGGAGAGGGAAACAAAAGTCACAGAACATTTTAGAGCAATTTAAGACAAAAGCAGTAAGGGGTAGGGTAAGATTCTCATTTGTCTTCCACTCATATATTTGGTTGCCCTAGCTGCCACCGTGGGGAAATCGAAAGATACAGAAGTCACAGTTTATTCTAGAGAAGATGCTGTATATTCAACTGTCTGCAGGGGCCTATTCGCAGGTATTATGAGATATTTGTTACAGAATAGCAAACACATCTTTAGATCATCTCACTGGGGGGAAAAACCCCAGAATGCTTTAAAATAACTCAAAATTTTACAATAATTTAAAAGATAACGTCCTATAATATGCCAAGGGGAGGTGAAATCAATTTTTGTTTTTCCTGAAGAAGAAATTTAGTTAGAAAGATTAAGCTAAAAATTAAAGACTACAGGAAATGTTGATGGCAGAGATGCAATCAAAATTTTTTTCCGATTTTAACCCAATTTTAGATATAAAAATTCATACCCACGTGTACACAAAATACCTCAACTTCACAGATCCACTGAAAAAAGATACAGCCTAGATATCGCCCCCATGCCCCACCAAAAATATCACATCGTCAATAAAGCATATCATTAGTCATTCTTAGATTGTTAACAACTCCTCTATGTCATGATGCACTTAATTGAAACAAAATTTTATCCAGAAATTCAATCTATGAATTGATACAAGAAAATTTGCTCTGCTTAAATCAGGGGCTTGAGTCTTGAGAGATCATTTAATATATTTTTAACCTGGGGGTACCCTTCAACCTCACATACTGCTTAGGAATTCCCAAGTCTCCTTGAGATGCTTCTAAATTGCTTCTCTGAGGTGCCCACAAGTGTATTTGAGGAGAAGCTTTGAGAACAAGTTGAGGAGCTGCTGTCCTTCTATGAGACTGTGGAGATTCCACAAAAGAATATGGATCTCATGAAGGAAGCAATGGTTCAGGCAGAGGAAGCTGCTGCTGATATTACTAGGAAGCTGGAAAAATAGGAGAAGAAATGCTTGAAGAAGGAAAAGAAATGACTAGCTGCACTTGACCTTGCATCTCCAGAAAACAGCAATAGTACTCCAGAAGGAAGAATGTGAGATTGCAGAAAAAGCCAAAAAAGAAGAAAAAGCAAAAGCCCCAGGAAGCACCTCAGGAGAATGGAATGGAATACCCATCTATCTCTTTTTCCAAACCGAAGAAAAAGAAATATTTTTCCAAGGAAGAATTGGCTAATAGTGATCTTGAAGACACCACTGGCAGCACAAGTCTTCCCAAGAGGTAGAAATCCTCACCCAAGGAGGAAATAGCTAGTGAGCCTGGAGAGGCAGGCAACAGGAGTGTCTCCAAGAAAAAGAGGAAATTCTCTTCCAAGAAGAGCCAGTCAGCAGTGGACCAGAAGAGGCTGCTAGCAGCAAGAGCAGCTCCAAGAAGAAAAAGTTCCATAAACAACCCCAGGAAAATTAGAATGGACTTTGCCAGGTAGGGGGGCATACCATAAGGTGACAATTTCCCATCCCAAGTTCTGTACCCCAATAAAAAACAAAATTCAGGAAAAAAAGAAAATTTAAAATACAAAGTAAATTACTCTCTAATTAAATAAATATTTGCAAAAGCTAACACTGATTGAAACAAAATTATTCCAAACCACTGGCTTTTAGATGCAGAGCAAGACTTTGATGATCCAGACTACCTACCTTTGATTCTCCTATTTATATTATGCATACATACTTAAGAAAAGTATGTACATATGTAATACATACTTTTCTCATTATCTCCTATAATGAAGCATCAGCTTATTGGGATGAAAAACTAAGACTCTTCGGACCTACTTTAAAAACCAGACATTTATTCCACTCTGTGTTTCTCTGAATGTCTATAGTGTCAGTAGACTTAACTATTCATGTGCAAAATACAAAAATAAAACAACACAGTAAAGTATTATTCAATACTTTCTACATCACTACTTTTCACTAACCCTGAAATAGAGATGTTAAACGTCAGATGAATGATTTGCTATATACTTTCTAAAAACAGGACCTGCTCAAGAGATTATTTCTAAAATTCAGATGTACCAAAACATTTGCCGTGAACTTTAAATCGAAAAAAAAATGTGTATTTTTCATCTTAATCGACCTTGGAAAAGCTTTGCAAAACTGCTCAACTGGCTCTTGTCAACTTAATCTAGTTAGCACAAATATGATCCACGAACTAATATTGGAATGGCAGGGAAAAAAAACTGAACTAAAGCGTTTCGCAAAAGATTTTTTTTTTTCCCTTGTAGAATGATTTGACTCCTCTGGATATATTGCCGGAAGGGGGATTGCTGGATCATATAGAAGGCCAATTTCTAGATCTTTTAAAAATCACCATAACGTTTTCCATGGAGACTGAACTAGCTTACACTCCAACTTATAGTGCAGATATGTGCCCTTTTCTCCGCAGCTACAACTGGTTTTTTTTTTGACTTATTAATGATGGCCATTCTTACCGCCCCTTTCCTTTCTTTTCCACTTTCAATGGGCATCTGAGTTGATTCAATGTCTTCACTATTGTGAATAGTGCTGCGATAAACACATGTGTGCTGGTGTCTTTTTGGTAGTGATTTATGCTTCTCTGGATATATTCCCAGGAAAGGGATTGCTGGATCATATGGAAGCTCAATTTTTAGTTCTTTGAGAAATCACCATAACGCTTTCCATAGAGGCTGAACTAGCTTACATTCCCATCAACACTGTACAAGTGACCCCTTTTCTCCACAGCCATGCCAGCACCTGTTGTTTTTCAACTTATTAATTATGACCATCCTTACTGGTATTAGGTCATATCTCACTGAGGTTTTGATTTGAATTTCTCTGATGATTAGTGAGGCTGAGCATTTTTTAATGTATCTGTTGGCTGTCCCTATGGATTCTTTTGAAAAGTGTCTATTCATGTTTATTTTATTTTTTATTTTTATTTATTTATTTTTTGAGTTAGAGTCTCACTCTGTCTCCCAGACTGGAGTGCAGTGGCCGCCCCCGGCCACCGCAGCCTCGACCTGCTGGGCTCTGGTGATCCTTCCACCTCAGCCTTCCAAGTAGCCGGAACTACAGGCGTACGCTACCACGCCCAGCTAGTTTTTTTTTATTTATTGTAGAGATGAGGTCTCGCCAAGTTGCCCAGGTGGGTCTCAAACCTGTGGGCTCAGGCAATTTACTCACCTCGGCCTCTCAAAGCATGGGATTACAGGCTGAGCCACCGAGCCCGGCCTATTTATGTTTATTGCAGCACTATTCACAATAGCAAAAACACGGAACCAACCATGCTGCCCATTGAAAGAGGACTGGATTTAAAAACTGTGGTGCATATACATGATGGAATATTATGCAGCTATACAGAAGGACAAAATTACGAACCTTGCGGCAACTTGGATGGATTTAGAGTCCATCATACTCAGTGATCTATCACAGAAACAAAGAGCTGAATACTACATGTTCTCACTCAAAAGTGGGTCCTGAACATTTACCACAATACCACAAGACAGGGATCAGCAGTAGAGGGGATACTGCCACGGGAGGGAGGGACACATAACATCACTAAGGGTACCTCATTCTAAACCAGGGGGAGTGGGGACCAATGGGAGGTCCAAACTTTACCTTGTGTACCTAAACCTGACATGTACTCTACATCTTTATAATAAAATAAAGATACTTTTAAAAAAAAATTTAGCCGGGCTCGGTGGCTCAGCCTGTAATCCCACGCCTTGGGGAGGCTGAGGTGAGTGGATTGCCTGAGCCCGCGGGTTCGAGATCCGCCTGGGCAGCAAGACCTCATCTCTACAATAAATCAAAAAAATCAGCCGGGTGTGGTAGTGCACACCTGTAGTTCCAGCTACTTGGAAGGCTGAGGCGGAAGGATCGCCGGAGCCCAGTAGGTGGAGGCTGCGGTGGCCGGGAGCAGCCACTGCACTCCAGTCTGGGCGACAGAGTGAGACTCTAACTCACAAAAAAAAAAAAAAGTAAAAGAAAGAAAAAAAGGAGAGTTTTAAATATACATATATTTGGAAAGTGTCTAAGAAAATAGATAAAGACAAAAAAATCAAATTCTATGCTTCACTGACCTTGTAGTGTTTTGATTTATAGAAAAAAAGTTTAACAATAAACTTTCTCACATAATTCTAAAAGGAGAAAACAAACAACTGCATAGTTAGAACCTATCATTTTAAAAAAAGAATCCATTAAAACGTGGGCAAAGGACATGAACTGACACTTCTCAAAGATGACACACAAGCAGCCAACAAACACATGAAAAAACGTTCAGCTTCATTAAGCATCAGAGGAAAGGAAAGTAGACAAGGAAAATGTGGTACATATACATGATGGAATATTATGCAGCCATAAAGAACAACAAAATCACGTCACAACCTTTGCAGCGACTTAGATGCAGCTGGAGACCATTATACTAAGTGAAGTATCACAGAAACAAAGAACTGAATCCCGCATGTTCTCACTCATAAGCAGGCCTTGAACACTGGTCACACTAACACGAGGGTGGGATTGGCAGATGCTGAGCACGTCCAGGCGAGGTGGGGAAGAAAGGAGGGAGGCAAGTGGCTACACAGTGGGTGCCTGGCCCACTATCAAGGGGAGAAAGGCCCAAACTTGACCTGCATGAAAGTTACTTATGTAATAAATCTTCGCTTGTGCCCCATAACTCTAAATTTAAATTAAAAAAAAAAAAAAAGGAGTTGAAAATTAGACCAAGTGTGTGTTAGCCCAGATTTCACAATTTCTGCTTTCCAGTGTTATAAACACGGTGCTTTGGACAATCACACATTAATATTCAAGAAATCAGACTCTGCTAAATATACTTCATATGATATGAAATGTAACCCAGACTTTGAAGAACTTGGTGACCTTTTATAGTGCCTTAAATTCTCAGCAGGCTACTCCCTGTGCTTCCAGTCTTTTGCCTTCTTCAATTCATTTGCCCCAGAGCAGAGGAAGCGGGAATCTGGTTGCTCTTACATAAAGACCCTCAATGGCTCCCCACTGCTTTCAAAATAAACCCCACACACCTTGGGATGGTTTAGGAGGCACTCCATTGTCTGGTTCCAGCTTCTCTCTCCACTCTCCTTTCTTGCTTCTTTTCCTAGTTTCTCATCCCAGTTTCCCAAACTATCTTGCCTCTGGGCTTTTGAAAAGGCTTCTTTTGCCCAGAAATTCTACCTTTCCACTTCCCACACCAAACACTCAACACTTGGCCTTCAGCTCAGCTCTCACTCCAGGCTGGCGCTATTGTAACTATGAGTTGTTTTTTGCTATAGCAAAAGCTTAGAAAAAAAAATCATTCCATTCATGTATTCCACTTTAACTAATAACAAGGTGACTATTTTACTTTTTTAATCTTTAAGGAAACCAACCTAACTTTGTAGTTAATAACATCTCACAATTCTCAAATTATTTTTGCTACTGTTTTAGCTTTTTTCTCAGATTTATTTTCAATGCTACATTCTTTAATCAAGCTCTAATCATTTATTTTGATTTATTTATTAGAAAATTTTGCATAACTATAAAATTAATTAAATAACCCTAAGTATGAGTTTGTTTACCTCCTTTTAATAATAACTCATTTTCCCCATAAATCCCTTCCATGCATGCATGTATAATTACTGGGCAGAGGAAAAGACATTACATTTTGCAAGAATGAAAGAGAAAGAAGCAAAAGAAAATTCTAATTAGCTTCATAAATAACTTCAATGCATTTACCACTTCACTGGTTCTTCTCCAATGTTCTCCTCCCACAAATAGAATAAACAAAATCAAACTATTTTACTACCCACTCACATAAATTGTTACACCAGAAGATTAAGTGGCCCTGGACCAGGAAGGGCTCAGCAGAAAAGTGAACTGTAACCAAGTCCGAAGAGCTCAGTCTAGGATGAAAAAAGGAAGAAAATCTGCCCACTATATACAGTAGGTCATAAATCCTTTTCAACAAGGATCTTGTGGCATCTGATGCGCTCTTATACTTTTTCATTTCTTTCTCTTGTTTTTCTCTCACTGAAGATACTGGTGAATCCATGTTCAATGAAGTGATTATTTTAGAATGATACCCTAAAACCATAGCACAAAATTATTTGGCATGCTTTTGACTTTAATAGAGTCCCTCAGAATAGAACAATTGATGCCAATGATTATTCTGACAAAGGCAAATTATTGAAAATGCTTAAAAAGAGTATAAAAGATGCATCTATGTGCATAGTTCCTGTATAGGATGTAGCTATTTGAGATGCAAAATGCCAGTGATTTATCAAAAGATTGAAAGGGACACCACTAAGTTCAAACCTATCAAATTGTCCCCAAAATTAAAGTACCAGGTAATAACTTTATGCCTCAGAATTACTACTCTAAAGCTTAACAGGATCTAATACAAAGAAAAGTAAAATTCTGTCTCCATCATACGGTGTTCAGTACAGTTCAGATAGTAAGACAAATAAGAATGTATCATATAAGCTTTTGAAGAAAAGGACAAAAGCATAACCACGAAAAGACGAATCAAAAAAAAGAACCAAAATCAGTTTGATATCAAGCAGACTTATCAAGAAGTTTGAATTCTTATGTTCTCTATGTGTATATGTTATACACAAATCAAGCTACCTATGCATCTACACTCTATTTCTTTCTAGATGCACACACATGACATTACCTACAGAGGGATAAAAAAATGTAATAAGCCTTGGCTGTGGTACTTTTTTTTTTTTTTTTTTACATCTAGGAAGTTCCACAAATAAAACAGAAATACTTGCAAATAAATTTAGCAGAGTTCCAGGTCTGCAGGTCTTTATGTGGGGGACAGGGGTGGGGGAACAGATCAAACAGTGTGATCTTCTATTTCGACATCTTTTAGACACAGACTGTCTTAATACTCTGAACTATTAGTCATCTGATTATCTCATATACAAAATAAAATGAACTATGAATTTTGAAGGTTAATGAAAGTTTCATTTCCCAAAAATTGTACTTGACACACTTTGAAAAATATTTCTTACTACAATTTTCTCTACTATATACAGTAGAAAACTTCATGCTTCACATTTTTGAGCTTCTCTTCTGTAGTCATTTGAGAGGATGGATTTCTCTAGCTACAACTTCATTATGCCATATAACTAGGTACTTGATGATGATTAGCAATAAAAGTCCATTTGTCTCGAGCTGTAGCCACAAGAAAGTAGCCTTAGCAGGAATATTTATACTGCTATTTTAAAAAGTGATTCAAAGATTTACAATTATATCTATTTTAATCTTGATATATAATCATTTAAAAACAATATTACTTCTTTGCATTTCTTCTGGGTCATTAAAAATATTTTTTTCTTTCAGTTCAGTTCACAAATTCTTATTTTCTTTGCTTTATAATCCCATAGTAATTTTACCATCTTGAAACTTTCATTTATTCTTGTCAACTAAAATTATATGCTTTTAAGAAACTGTCAATTTTTTTTGTAACGTATAAACCTGCGTCATTTTGCTGTTTTCATTTTCAAGAAAGAAATAGCTTAGAAACATAATATGAAATTTTGATGAGATTTTAGTATATATACTCATCTGAAGCAAGATATTAAGTATTATCAATATACTTATACTAGAAAGATGCAAATGGAAAGGAAAACATCCTACAATAAATAGTAACCCCACTCGAAAAAAGAAAAAAATGTGAAATAAAAGAATATATAATACCACAACTGGATTTAAGTATTTTTTTAAAAAGGGATGACCAAAAAAATACATGAGCAATACGTCTTAAAGCTGATACATTAATGTGTATTTTAAAATTCAGAAACATGCACAAAGTTAAACCTAGAATTTTCGCTGTGAAATTGTCAAAGGCAAATAATAAAAGTTTATATTGTAAAGATTGATCCCAAGTTTAACTTACTTCTTTTAAAATGAAACATTTTATCAAAACACTAATCTCTTTAGTATTAAACAATTTCTTTTGTGTCATTAACATAAAAAGACAACACAGACATACTTGTTCACAGATATAATATTAAAGTCAAACTTACGTCTCTAAATTGTCACCTTCAAGAACTGTCTGGACAGGCAGGTAGCCAAGGCGAGGATGTTTGGCAAAGTATTTCTTTGACCTGAACTTGTTCTTCAGCACCTTTGTGAAGTCTCGTACATCTTCCCCAGATGTTGTCTATAAGGTTGGAAAAATTACACCTCTTAAGAAAATTGAAGGTGATAACTCATCTACAATAAAATCAGAGCAAATGGAAATTGATGCTATTAAATGCCAACAGTTTTGGTAGTTTTAAGCATTTTGGAATATAGCACAATATCATGAAAACACTTGGTAAATGGCCTGAGGTGTGGCCGGGGTCACAGGCGGTGCCTTCTCCCGCGCCGCCAAGCCCCCCCACACCCTGCAGGGTGGCCGCATACTGCGGGATCCAAGTTGGAGATTGCAGGGTGCGCGGCGGCGCCTCGAGGAGCAGGAGCGCAACGTGATGAACTGAGCCATGAGGAGACCGCGGGCTGGAGCCCGCCGCCTGGACCCTGCATGGACCCTGCCCCCCCCGTGCGCCATCTTGGAGCTCCGCAGCAGCTACGACAGGGACCAAGACTGCATACTGCTGAATAGACAGACTGTAAAGCAGAGGGAAAAGTGAACAAAGCCAGAAGACCCTCATAAGGAAGAACAGGTCATTGCAGGAGAGAAATAAAAGCAACCCCACCTTCCCTCAAAAACAGAATTGAAGAGGGGGAGGGAAAGGGGGAGAGGGAGAAAAATCTACAGAAATGAAGAAAAACCAAAAGAAGAATATGGGTCTCTCCCAGACGCCTGGGAGGCAGACACTGAGAAAATGACTTTGGAATACAAACAATGAAAAGTCCCCAGAATGAAGGGTCTCAAAATGCAAATGTAGATATCAAAACAATAATGGAGAGACTAAAAAGAATTGAGGAGACACAAGAAGAAACTAGGAAGGAGCTGATATCTGAGATAACAGTAATAAAGAATACTGTGAATGAAATAAATAACAAATTGATAAGGATGGAAAGCAGAATTAAACAAGCAGAAGAAAGAATCTCAGAGCTTGAGGATCAAAATATAGAACTAACCCAAACTCTTAAAAACACAGAAAATAAGCTCAAAAAGACAGAACAAAACCTTCAAGAGATGAGTGACTACCTCAAGAGGCCTAACCTAAGAATAATCAGACTCCCTGAGGCAGAAAGAGAAACAGAGACCACATTGGAACAAACTTTCCATGAGATCATTCAAGAAAACTTTCCTTATCTAATCAGTGATGCAAAAATTCAAACACAAGAGATTCAGAGACCCCTGCAAGACAACAAATGAGAAGACCAACTCCTAGACACATAATAATTCGCCTAAATAAAGTAGGCACAAAAGAAAAAATCCTAAAGGCAGCAAGAGAAAAAGGCCAGATCACCTACCATGGAAGACCAATCAGAATAGCAGCAAATTTATCTGCAGAAACCCTGCAGGCTAGGAGAGCTTGGAGCCCTATCTTCAAAGTCCTAAAAGATAAACAATTTTGAGCCAGGCTCGGTGGCTCAGCCTGTAATCCCACGCCTTTGGGAGGCTGAGGTGAGTGGATTGCCTGAGCCTGCAGATTCGAGACCCGCCTGGGCAGCAAGACCTCATCTCTACAGTAAATCAAAAAATTAGCTGGGCGTGGTAGCACACGCCTGTAATTCTGGCTACTTGGAAGGCTGAGGCGGAAGGATCACCAGAGCCCAGCAGGTCGAGGTTGCGGTGGCTGGGAGCGACCACTGCACTCCAGTCTGGGCAACAGCGTGAGACTCCAACTCAAAAAAAAAAAAAAAAAGATAAACAATTTCAACCAAGAATAACCTACCCAGCCAAGTTAAGCTTCATCAGCGAGGGAGAAGTAAAATCTTTCCCAGATATCCAATCCTTAAGAACTTATGCTGCCACCAAACCATCTCTACATGAAACACTTAAGAAAGTACTAAACACAGAAGAAAAGGAAAAAAGAACAATGTTCTTCACAAGACTACAGGGAAAAGAATAAAGTATACATGAACCAACCCCAAAACCAAAAGAAAGACAAAAAAAAAAAAAAAAGAAAAGAAAAAACCAAGTGGAAGAACAACAACTCAATATGAACTCCATGATAGGGACGAACTCTCACATTTCAATAATTAGTCTGAATGTGAATGGACTAAATGCACCACTGAAAAGACATAGAATGACAAAATGGATAAAATATCACCAGGCAACAATATACTGCCTTCAAGAGACCCATCTCACTAGAAAGGACATACACAGACTCAAAGTAAGAGGATGGGAAACAAATG